GATGAACGTCCATGTGCCAGAACTCAGTACAGCTTCGTCAGACTGCGGAACACCGAGAAGAATTCTAAGGGTAAACCCCATCCCCACCTGATCTTTCACTTTTAAGCAACCTCACCCCCAGTTCTTTTAAAATGCTAAATTATTTCACCACGTTTATCTTCACATTTCAGGCTCTGGATCAGAGTAGTTCGTACTACCTAAAAACGCGAGTAGTGTAAGTCGTAACTCCCAAATACGAATCGAAATTTCCGTTTTTTTTTCTAACACCACATCTAGCAACTTTTAGTATGTCTTAGACACCTTACACGTGGATGTGTTTGTCTACATAGATGTGAGACAGAGCAGACATCCACCCAATATGCTGTTGCGCTTTGTAGATTGCGTTGGAGAGCCGCGTAGCTCCCTTGACGAAGTTATTGAACACCTCTCGGCGGCGTCACAGTGACAAAACACACCCATAACTTGCATCCCATTCTAAGTGAAACGTTCATTTTAGAGTCAAACGCCGAGACCTGCCTGCAATAATGGGTGGTATGAATGACAAAACAACAGGTTCAAAATTCAACCAAGCTACTTAGGAGATAAATAAGATGTAGCGGGTGTGCACAAAGACTCCGCCCATAGGACCCATGGAACTCACTCACACCACAGATTATGACCTTGCATTCAAAACTCTATATAATTACCCAGCTATTGCAGCCAAAATAAGAGGAAGGGATTTAAATAACTGTACAATTTCTTCTCCCTTCAGGACAGGGGCCCGAAGGAACCGCAGTTACCGCTGAAAATACACAAGATTTGAAACTCAAAACAAAATTTCCCCCTAGGATAATTTGTTTATCGCTTTCACCCTCCACCCCAATCTTCGCTAGACTGCACTCCTTACCCCTAAATAATGACGAAACGCTGCACCCCATCTCTGCTATGAACATTGTACTACATTTCAATGGCACGATCTATTTAAATAAACAAACGCATATAAGGAAGGAAAGCCACGTATGAAGTTTTTTTCAAGGCTAACTCAAATCTATAAGTCAATCATAATTTTATTTGTTACTTAATCCAGCTCCAAGTGTTTGTTTTCACCTAAAATATATACAAAACTAAGAACAATTAAGGGAGATAAAATGCATAAAGTTATTAAGTCCATGCTAAAATATTTGCTTCAATTTATTGCTTTCTTGAGGAATTTTAAGAAAAGGAGACTAATTTTTGTTACATAATGACAATTCACATATCCAAATGTGGCAACACCAATCATCAGTCATTGCCAATTTTGGCACATCCACTCCTCACCTAGTGATTTCCGTGGGTCAGTTTATTCTGCTTTGTCTCTTCAATGCCCATGGTACTCAACAACGTGGTGAATGACTTCCCAAGTCGGGGAAGGAGAAAGCGATCATCTGCATTGTACAACTTCTACCAAACAGTGTTGCGAATGTAGATCTGTTTCCCCATAAGTAGCAAAGACAAGGCATTGGCCCAGCTCCTCCTCATCAACCCAATTGTCAAGCGCTGAACGAGAATTCACCCTTTCAAAGTGGCATATGTTTTTACACCAAAGACCTTTAAACAAAACAATTTTCTGGACTGGCGGCCGAAGTCCAAAGCAGTCTCGACCAAATAAAGGTGCGTCACCTTGATCTATGTACAGGCAGGAGTATGTACAGGGCCTGGAAGGTGAAGTGCAAGAATTGTAGATTGAGTGGTTAGTAAGTAGGTAGAGAATGATAGCACTGACTCTAGGTTTCACCTCTTCAAATTGGGGTCACAAAATCATGAGTCTCTCTCAAGTCTCTTCAAGATTCGTTTGAAGGTTGTCCACTGAGGCTACGCCAGAAATCCCCTCCCTCTCCAAATGACTTTGGTTCCTTTGGTCCACCTCGGATCCAGGTGACATTAACTGTCGCAACTTCCTCGGCTTCAATGCGTGCCGCGACGGTGTTTCTAAGTTGTGCGGAAAGTTTCGATTGAATTGGAACCTGCCTCCGACTCTGCCTCCTCCGCTCCTCGATCCTTCCTTTGCTTTATTTGCCAGGTAGTCTAAACAATGTCCAGTGACATCTCATTTACAGCACATTGGTAAAGGGAGGATAAGCATTTAATGAAGGTTTGATAGCCAAACGCACCCGGAGCCCCGTAACAACTGACTACAAGGTCGTGAAGCACACGATTACATTTGGCATCCCAACTCAACAAATCTGCCAATTGGAGTAGCTGTCCTCGAACCTGCAACTCACTCGGTGTCTCGCCCGTCTGAAAAAAGAAGTAGGCATCAACTTGCGGTTTCATTCGTCGTTTTGGCGGTAAGGGGTCATCGAAACGGCGTCCAAAAAGAAGGCGGTAGACAAAAACGTTCATGTTGAGTCAACAGACGGCACCTCTAGCATCTGTACATTAGAGGGGCCCAGATAGATAGCCAAGTGGCATTGAAACGGGAGCATAACGATGGGGCGTAGATAAATTGGCACAGAGTTCATCCATAGAGAGGGAACCAAGTATCCTTTCGCATTTGACAGCAATTCCGACACACAAATTCACCAACTTTCTTGACAATGCAGTCACCCCGTAGTAGTTATACTGCCACCATTACCACACTAAAGGTTGCTATGTCCGATAGAGAAGAACAGTTGTGGTTTTCTGTCTTCCACTACTTACCTAGCGACAGTTGTGTGTGTTTTACGGGTTCACAAGAAACACCTGCGATTTTACGTGGTTCTGCACGTCACACCACCAACCCTCCCTCCTTTGTATTCACTTTTCTTGTCCTCTAGGTGTTAGTGCCCGATATTCCAAAGTGATTCATAGTACTTGTTGCAGTTTCACCTCGGTTAACACGACGTCCAATGTTCTCGGTTCCGCCTGTATCCTTTAGACACGTCAAAAGTGGCAACCACAATGGTTAGTCATATGGTGGAATTATTTCCTTTAAACAAGATATAGAAAAAAAAATGTAGTTTTCGTCTTTTTTGTTGTATTAGCCTGCTTCGCCTACCTAGATAAGCAAGCATGCTCCAGAGAGATAGGCGATTGAGGATATAATTCGTGAAAGACAATGCCGAATGGAAACCCCTTTTCATTCTATCTGCAGGTCAGAGGTGTACCAATGTTTAAGGCGCGGTGGTAGAAAATGAGCGCAACACAAAGGGGGAGATTACTTGATCAAAAGATGGTTGTGCGAACAACTCCTGAGTGCCGTCTTACAAAACATGACTTGGTGATTGATGAAATTCTACCCAAATGTTAAAAGAGCCACTAAGCGGAAGATTGAACGATGTTGGAGTGGAAAGTGTAGAATATGAATGCCAGATCGAGATGCAGAAGGGTAGACTAAACGAAATCATCTTCCAACCTCACAATCTGAAAGCGCGTCTTCTTGCAGGCGTTGAAAGACCTAAAGCGCGAATACTCTGCTCAGTGGGTAGTTCAGTCACCCCATGGATGGTGAGTCACGTCCTTGAGGTGACCAATGAGAGAGTAGTGAATCTCCTCGTTCCACGGACGTTAAAAATGCCGATGAGAGGCGGAAATGCCAGATCTTGTGTATGCGTGTATGTGTGCTTGGAGAAATGGAGTGAGAGACGGCAAAGAATGTCATTTACACGGATAGAGCATAAAGTAAGATGGGTAAAGGTCGTTCCAGCCGCGGCAGGATAACTCGCGCCTTCGCTCCCACTTGAGAGGATAAATGTCAGCGCACCACGCCACACCACGCCACGACTCGACCGTGGCACGCGCTTGAATGTACCACGCATGCGTTGGAGGCGCCTCTGGAATGAAACGAGTGTGTCAACACAACATCGCCCATTTGCCTCCCCCCTCCATCAATCACGACACCTTCATTGAAGGTCTCCAAGCGCGTATGCGAAGAATGCCGGAGATAGGTGGTGATGCGTTCCCTTCCTCCCCTACTCCTTTTTGCCCCATGTCTATTTCCGCCGTAATTCCTCCTTCCAGACGAAATAAAGCGCAAAGATGTTGGCAATATATAAGTGTACCATAGTGCCTGGTCGCTTTCATTGGCGAAATCGGTGGCGTCATGAAAGCCAAGAAGATCCGGCAAAACAATAGCTACCTAACAACTTAACCCGAGCATTGTCAAACCAAGTCAAATAGGCAAGCACTTAGAGATGTCTACATGATGTCAATTAGTCCACTATCCCTCCTTCCCGTCGGTTAGGCGGTCGGTTATATCGTTGGTGCCGTGACCTTTTCCATCGTTGCCGTAATTCCTGCCAAAAACTGCTATGCATTCCACCTTCCTGACATTATAGGGGGATCGGTCAGCCACCTTCCCCCTTTTCCACCTCACTCCCCGCCCCGCGTTCACCCTCTCCTCCTTCTCCTAGTGACACACACCACCTGTTGCTACTACCGCTGTTGCTGCTACTGCTGCTTCTGCAGTTGCAGATACGGCTGCCTCTGCAAATTCCACGGTCCACCTCGACACTAGGCGTGAAAACATGTGTTTTGTGGTGGCTAGGAATGCGAACCAGTGTCTAAATATAGGACGCCTGTAGCAGCACCAGCTCTGCCGATTCTGTGCTGATGGTTGGCTTTGCTGCCTCAAGAGGGCCTTTGGCCACCTTTGAGAAGGTTTCGAGGCTATACCATCGTGTCCATCGACTTGCCTATTCGTTTCCAAATTAAAAAGAAGAGTGATTCATTGTGTAGGAGAATGGATGCAAAGAATGGGATTGATCTACTCTTTGATTGAGTAATCACTCACTAGGGAGCAATCCTAAGAGATATTCAAGGACTGCAATTGAACAACCAAATGTCACGTCACTGTGTCAGCTGACTTTAATGACATTCGCGGCCGTTGTTACCGCTCCTTCTGTTCACAATGACAACCAACTTCTGTGAAAACTTTACTCAGGAGATCCAAGTTGACATGCTTCCTAATGATGCTGATACTGAATTCCCCGAGCGCAGAGGTGAATTGACGCGTAGTTAAAAGTCACACAACTCGGGCGACAACCGCAATGGGCTTTGCGACAAAGTCGCACAAATAAGTGTTTACTTAGGCCTTAGCACAAAGAAGGGAAAGAGGGGAAGGAGAGATTTGAGAGGAATGCGGTTAGAGTAAACATTGAGCCCGAGAGAAATGCGCAGTTGTGAAAAAAACAAAGTCGCTTCAAATGCATCATGCCTTTAGCACAATCTGGGATGAAATTAAAGTTACCTTCCACTGCTGCACGGACAGACAGAGACCTACAACTTCTAGCGCTCTCTTGGCAGTAGCATAGGAAGGAAGACAGACTCGGATAGAATCACTTTAGTTCACTCATCGGAGCCTTTAAAAAGTGGCATAAAGGTGGGATTACGACAATCGCTCCCTAAATGTCTTGAAACGTTCAAAATGCCAATGAAGCGTGAACTCGAGCAGACACCGAGTAAAAGCGTCCTCATTTTCACCAAGTAGAGTGCCAGTGTTTTAAAAACAAAACCGGCATAGAACAGGATAGACAAGGAACGAAAAAAAAGAGACTACGTCGATTTACTTTCGGGAGTTATGACTAACTCTCTTCATGGAAATGCACACACGCTCTATCCACAGTGACTGCAGCATTAATCAAAAGTAAATTGCATAATTTTTGCCATCGGTGATAGAATGTGTGCATGAGAAATGGGTTTGGGTAAACATGCGAAACAATTTTTCACCTCAACTAACCTGATTGTGAATAAGCAAAGAGACACCGGTGGCATTCTGTACAAGGCGGGAGTTGAGAATGAGGCCGACAATGACAATTTGGAGGATAATCACAGCTGCGAGTAGGAGACATACGGTTACAACAGCTATGGTAGTTCGTCGCCGATGGGTTCGGCGTTGTTGCGGGGTCGGCGTGGATGGAGAGACTGGGAGCGAGGTGGTGGCGGAGGGAGACTTGGAGCTGTGGGGAGTTGCACTACCACCGCCACCACCACCACAGTTACTGTCGTTTGAAACGTCCGATGAGACTGGCATCGTGCAAACGTGTGTGTGTGCTTGCGTGTGCGTGTGTGTGTGTGTCAGCGAGTGCAATTGTCAGTGTGTGAATGGACGTGTGTATGAACGTCCAGGCCAGGTGTGACATACGCACGGGCAGGTGTATCTTACACACCATTGTCAGCCATTGGCTAATTGCCTCACTGTGTACGCGAGGAGGGAGGGGGAAGAAGGGAAAATGAATGCAGAAGAAAGTTGGGAAATGTCATTGGATGCGTCTGGAGATAAGCATTTATGCTTCGCTTGATGGCGATTTCTATCAGACCTTGTTGAATGTCTCGTGCTTGGGCCATTGACAAAGGAGCGGTAGAGTTACAACGGGACACGCAATGAAGATGCCAGCGGGGATGTGACGGCACAATCTGGATTACGCCCGTCAATGGACAAGGTTGCATTGTTTGAAGCCTGTTGGTGCAGACACACCGAAAAGGGAAAATACCCAGCCCTCGACAAGGGTGGGTGCTCATCATTCACCTCTCCTAACGATTTGAGCAAAGTAGATGCACCATGGAGAATGTGGAGAAAGAATGCTTCAGTTGGGTAGAATGCGTTCTTTTAGACATCTCGTCCAATATGGGAGAGTACAACCCCATGATCGAGGTGATGGTGGTGGCAAAATCTTTCTATTTCATTGTATAAAGACAAGCGTATCTACTTCCTCCTTCTCGATTGAATGACTTAAGGAGTTTCAAACTGACCTCATCAAAGACCGGGTCGACGAGAGGAGAAGCTAGAAAATTATTTAAGAAACTGTCTTCCGCGGCACATTAATGATAGTGGACGGAGTTTCAAGACCGCAAATGAGTGTTAATTGCAGACTTTTAAGAAAAGAAGTGTCTTCTGCGCTCTTGCCTTCCAACGCCCTACTGTCGAGAAATCCACGGACTTTCCCATCCAAAGCTTAATGTCAATAGGCGTTTGCCTTGCAATGGAACACCGAAAAAACGATAATAACACAACCCTAGGATATATAGTAAAAGGTTTACAAAAGTTCTGTCAAAACAAGTCATCTCAAACCTTTTAATAGGAGAGGAGCGAGAAGCCACCACATGTCCATCGCATCAATTTCTCCTAGGAGTAAAACTGGGCAATTACGTCCGAAGAAATGGGAAAAAGATGGCCACACTAGGGCATTTGTTGCTGGAGAGGAGCGAATTCATGCAAGTAGAATATGTGAGCACGCAACTCGCCGTCCAAGAGTGGCAGTAATGAGGATGTACTACTTCGAAGATGCAAATAATATAAACGTTTAGCCTTAAATTCACGTCCTGCTCCCAGTTCACCCTGTCCCTTTCCAGTTCACTCAGTACCAAACTAGTAAAGGTTTCCCGACTAGACTCATCGTTTACTCTTTTTTGCCATTTCATAAGGTTATAACATGCGAACCCTTTCAAGCACCGAATTTAAAAGTAAGAGGGTTGATATTGCCACATACACTTCCTCCCCTTTTCCATTACTCCGTCACAGTGTTCAGCCGTCAGGTCGTAAAATGGCGCCTTCTAGCGGAGTAAACCTGCTGAAAGTGATAGCCCACACCCAGTTAGATGGGGTAGTCTTAGGGGAAGGCAGACTTACGATCAGCAAAAGCCTACTTCTTTCCACTCTGCAGGAAGCAGGGATTGGTAGCTGTCAGGCTTGAGATTTCTCCCAGCATCATAAACCCTATCAGGGTCGCCAGCCTTTGATAACCAGGAGTAATCAAATTAAAGACGACTTGTGTTTGAAAGAGAGGGCGAATGATTTGTCTCATACGAACCACGCTCATGCCAGCACATAAAAATAGTAAAAGATGATTTCATCAAAATCCAAAAAATCATTCTATTCAAGAGGCCAAAGTCGATAGGAAGTGTGAAAGGCAGAGGAGTGGGAGGTAAGTGAGGAAGAATTGATAGAAGAAAGGGCTACCTACGTAGGTGAAACTAGGAATGAGAAATCGTTTTGAAGCCTAACACGCATCTACACACGTACGTACGTAATAATACATATACATAATAGTAATAAGAATAATAATAATAATATTAGGGCAAAAAAAACATTCTAGCATGCTGCGAAACGGACACACAAAGAGGAATAATTGGTAATTTTCCCCAAAAGGAGAGGTAATTGACGTAACACAGCCAAGGGAGGAAGAAAAAAAAGAGGGGTCTTAGCCCAATATCTGTCTTTTGGCTGAAACCTAGTTGGAGAAGGGTGGTTTTTAGTAAAAGAGGATATACACGTACGCTTCTTTGCTTGTTAGTCGATATGTACATGAATAGATAATCCAAGGCACGAAAATGGGCTGCCAAAGAAGAGCGGAGGGGGACATGACAGAGATCCACATCAAACGCCAACGTTGTTCTCATCATCATCGTCGTCTACTTCCATGTCACAGCCATCCGCAGAGGGATCGTTCGCGGAGTTCAAGCTGCTACGAACGTAGACCTCACCTTTGGATGTTAGATACCGAGTAATTTTACGACGCAGACGATCCACAATATGGCGATTCAATCGCGGCATCTCATTATTTTTGCGTCGAGCCATTTCCCGATCCGCAAAGGCGAAAGCAAACTGGAAGAGAGTGATGACCGTCTTACTCAATGCTCGTGAAGCAGACTGAAAGCTTGGAGAACGAAATAATGTGATTGTATGACGATAGACGATGCATCGCCTACTTTCAAATAAGCTCCACAAACAAGTTCAACGGAGCCAAATTCATGGTCGAGCAACACATCCGTCCTGATGCAATTAACGAAATTCCGCATGGCAGCACTCAACCCAGCTGTGGCGAACAAAAGCGAAAAAGCACATGCACAGACGCCTCACGCAACTGACTAAACGGCGATCAGAAGTTCCAAACTATGAGGTCAGCTGTGATAAGCAATCACGGCTCACACACCACAATGGCTTCAATGCACTTGGTCCACACCTTATACCTACACAACCGAACCCTCTCGGCTCAAAGTCTACCAGAAAGAGAAATTATGCTTATGTAGACAAAAAGTCGGCTCAGAGTCACATAATGATCGAACTGCTCCATGGAATATGGGAAGGTGACTATGCATAGTGAATAGATATACTTGGCACTAACAGAATGGCAGGAATACGTGGATGGTACTTGCCTTCTTAGCAACATATTTCATATCCTCATCACTCTCCAGGCGTCCGGTGATGCAGTTTGGCAGTCGGAACGGTTTTAAAATCTTTAAGTTAACTGCATAGATCCCTGCAATAAATTCTTTCTTCGCTCGATCCTCCGAGAGTTCCTTCTTCGGGACCGGTGGATCCCATCGAACCTCACGCGTCACAGTGTTGTAGTAGTAGGTCAGACCTGATTTGGAATCCACCGCAGACCGCCATGGGAACTCGAGAGTTGTCTCAGGATCCTCGCCAGCCAGCTTTTGCAGGTAGGCGATCAGCTAAAAAGGGAGTGTGGAGCCGACATTCAACCCTCTACTTACACGAATGAGTAGAAAGCATTTCACCCTCAGATAGGCATACCCCATCAATGTCATTTCTTGTATTAAACTCGCGAATCTTGGCCGAGATTTCCGAAGTGGCCTGTTGCAACGCAACGCCAAAGCCTTCGCCTTGTTTTTCAGAAGACAAAGCCTGACGAGAAAGGGTCCTTAATAATAGATTCCGCAGATCTTCTGAGAATGGAGAGGAGGTTGAAGATGTGATTTCAGTGTTGACGTCAGTGGGTGTTTCCGAGTTGGCAGAAGCAGCGGCTGCAGCAGCCGCCTCAAATTGAGCTCGTCGCTGTAGTCGACTCAAATTCTGGTCTGTTGATACTTCGTTCTGACAATCTTGATGACTTCTTCTCCCTGAAGAGCTGAAGTTGCCTGTTCGACCATTGAAATAAGGAGAGGATCTGCGCGTGAGTAAGATGACAGACTTTAAAAGAATGTTGGGATAAGTACGACAATGCAAAAGCTAATCATCTGGTAGATTTCGATAATGAAAAGTTTCTCATAATTTCCTTTGCAGAGAACTTGTGTCTAGCTTAAAAATATCAGTTTTAAAAAAATTCATCCATAAATTGTCGGTTTCAAACAGCCCCAAATTCACCCTCATTCGATCCCAAGGGCATTTGCAGCGGGTATAAAAGCAAAAGCCCGAAAAAACTCACCTATTCCTTGGTGCCTCTTGTGCTATTGGACGCCAAGATTGGAATGCGTCTACAAATTAAAACGGCTCACATTTTGAAGCCTCCGAGACGCAGCTCCAAGTAATCGAATAAAAAGGGTTGCTTTCATACCATCTTGAGTGGAAGAAGCCTCCCATGAGACGAGAGAAGAACACGAAGATTGTAGAATCGATTGTTCTGTCTCCTCACGCTCGAGACGTGGGATTCGATAGGTCTCCACCTTAAAAGCCAAAGTTTATTCACCCCTTAATTATCAATTCAATTAGAGGTGTGAAGTGCAAAGTTAAACTCACTGGGAGTTTCAACCACCTATTAAGAATGCGTTCAGCAAGTTGGCGAATGTCTTCAATTATGGCCTTCTCCTCTTCCGGTAAGTAAATTTTAACAACATTGGCGTCGGGTTGCTGTTTTTGTTGTTCATGCTGGTCATAAATCTCAATCATCTTCTCCGGTATCTCTGCGAGCTGTGGTTCAACGAGACGTTTTGTGTCATCTGATGGCGCCATCGGTTGTGTGGAAGGAGCAGTTCCAGTATTTCGGGATCGGCAGTACCGCGGATCCATCGTCCATTGACGCACAAACTCCATCAGACTCGAATCCGTCTGCACTTGTTTCTGCTCAGTAACTGGAATGTGTTCCAGACAGATGAGGATCTGATACTTCAGTTCCCAGTCTGTTGGAGCTGTATCACACATGTAGGAGGCAAGAAGTTCAAGTCCGTTGTACTGCCGAAATAGCTTCAAGTAGCTCTCTGTCTCTGTATCAGCAAGGAGTTTTAACAACTCCAGACGTGTATAGCGAGTGAGGTACTCCTGAACCATCACTTGAATGAGGAAGGTCACATCCATTGCTGTTTGTAGGGTCTTTGCAGTCAATAATTGAATAATACGACGCTCGACCTAAAAACGACGAAAACGTGCTTGTGGATGAAGTGAGAAGGGCAAAACGTACCGCTCTGGTGTCCTTTAGTCGAACTTTATCCTGCAGCTGCTTGCTCGTAGCTCCCATGATACCAGAACAAGAAGGTGTACCACAGTAACACTTCTGCTCCGTCAAGCTGAATCAAGAATGGAAATGTCAACATACAATGCAGTTTTGCAGACAAGCGCAAAAATGGACGCGACCTTACTGGTGTGATGGGAAGTCGCAGACTGGAAATCTGACCTATTAGCACCAGTGATGGACAGCGGCCAATTAAGTCCAGACCTCAGTAATCAAGATGGTGAGCACTTGGATGCCACAAGCTCCCAACTGTGAGCCCATGATTACCTTAACTACTTAAAGTAGGACTGTTTCAAAGGCAATGAGTAGAAATCCAGACTATGACGACTTCAAGATCATAGAATATGGAGTGTTCTAGGAAACAAGCATCACTTGCAAAGCCTAACTTTGGGCTATCAACGAATTCATAAAAAATTTGGTGCATCACAAAATCCCGTTTAAGGTGTTAGATCAAGCACATACCCGTATTGGACGAACTGATAATCAATGGTGATTTCCTCCCCAGCAGGAATGTCGCAAATCGCAAAGAAGCCAATCCTAAGCCTCCCATTCACCATCCACTAAGAGTTCCAAAAAAGAGGGATCAGAGAGTTGCGGGTGGATGAAGAGAGAGGGGAAGACCAAGACGAACCTTTTGAGTTTCCGCGTTGGGTTCGCATGAGTGATTCACAAAGCGCGCCCAGTTGCCTTTTGTACCGGCGTCGATAAAGTGTTCTGGACCAAGAGACATGAAGTAGTGATGCACTCGCTTCGCCTTCTCGTACTGCCGAATACGACGTCGAAATTCAGGAAAATCAATAACTTCACCAGCGTACTCCACGATGAAGGTACCTCTGTGACGGAGATTCGGTAGATCAGCTTCTGTTTTAAGCATTCCCATGCAAAAACCTACGCCAGTCTCTTAATGTTCACAAACAATCAAGTCATCGCCCATACTTGTACGTCATATGGTTGACTTAAAGAAAACTTTAGGTATTCTGTTTATAGTACTGGTTAAATCACTGCTTCTTGTCGACTGAACACTCCACTAGAGCACCGCAGGTGTCAAGTGCAGATGGCAATTGTGACAACAGCTGCTCTAAATGGTCTGAACCTCAAGCAGATGAAGTGAGAAGACAGTTGGCTAGACAGAAATAAATCAACGACAGGATGGAGAGGAATTAATGCAAAAGACACGACCTCAAGATTGCGCCCCTCAGATGAATGATCCAAACCGAAGGGATTGGCATACAAAATGAGCTCACTATGAGACACTAAGCACAGTTGAACGGATGAAACTCCACAATGTAGGTCAGCATTAGAGGGAATCCAAGTCATTTTGTAGCGATAAAATGCAATTGTAATTTAACAAAACGGCTCTTTAGATCAACTTCCCAATTAATCGTCGTGATTCTGAGTTTCTGATGAGATCTGAGACGTTCTACCCATAAGAAAAGCTTCCCATACATACACTTAGGTGTCTTGATATTTCGGTTCATTCAAACAGTTACGAGGATTACGCACCGAAACAACACTCGTTTGAGATGTCCATTTAATTTAGCATGCTTCCACAATCCCACACGCACAGTAGAAAGTCCAGGTCTGTGATACTACGACGTCGGTAAGACGCATAGCCATGAGGGTTCTAAAGAATTGGCCCGAAATAAAACTTGTATCGGATGCATCATAGACCCAGATCAGACAGATCCTCATTTGCCCTGGACATTGGTGTCGGTGATGCAACTGTTAGTGATAAACGCTCATAAGAGGACAAATAAGGTCGCATAAAACAGAAAAGAGCCAAACAAGCACAGAAAAAAGGCATCGAGCATTTGTTTTTGCAATTTCAGCTATCGCTAAACTGTTCAGAAATTAGTCGACAGTATAGATGTTCACGGTGAGAGAGGATGGTTAAGCACTGACTACAAAACAATGAATCACACCGGTACAATTGCTACACGCTATGGTAAAAACTCAGTGCAATGCCAAACACAAGCCAGGACTACCAACAGTAGCCTTGTAGCCATCACAAGATACCGAATATCCATCCTAATCCCACCTTCTACATACGGAATGCTGACTTCCAGCAAAGAAGATAAATGTAGAACAAAGCCTTGATGGACTAACTTTGGAGCCAATAGTGTACCAGAGCGTAAAGAAAAAAGGAAACGATGACCATTGGCTATTAGTTACTACTTATAAAGATTTGGCATCGAAATGGTTGATTCAATGTCAAGCGAATTAGTACCAACATTGAAACTATCGCACATCCCTTTACTAAACGCATTCGTCGGCCTATCTATCAGGCATGGTATCTAAAAAAGCCGAACAAATAACATAGGAGACATGATGTGTTCAGTAAAGGCAACTAATTTCCGAAGTGCAGGACCTTTTTGAGTGCGATGGTAGACGAAACAAACGCTGCAAGATCCTAAAGCGAGATGAAGTTACAGCAACTACTCTATATGTCGGCATCACAAATGGCATGAGTCCAGTGTGCGGCGACCTAAATCAATCCCGAAAATTGTCACAATGGTTTATCAGCGTGTGAATCTTACGGAAAGTCCATAAGCTAGTTTATCATCACTACGGATAAAGAGGGTGAGGGTAAATGCTGCAGCTTCACTCACTTAGAAATGGACTGTAGAGCTCTAAGACCCCAACCCTTCTCCGGCCCACAGTAGTATGGCTCTGTGGATGCATAAAGCCGCAACTGAAACTGCCGATTCGAGCAGACAGCATGGGCAGGACATCGGGAACCACACTCGATGTAGACAGCACGATTGATGCAGCCTTGTCCACAGGCGAGTTTTCCAGACAGGAGTTCTTCTGCGGTAGGTACAGCACAGTCGCAGACCCAGTCGCCGCCACCGCCTAGTCGATGAAGCGAAAGGTGTTCCGAGGAAGTCAAGTCAACGCCTTCGCGGCGTAGCCGATCTTCCAAGAGGGCGTAGTCATTTTCCAACACGTGTTTATAATCTGGAGTTGGAACGCCAGCATTCTGTGCGAAATGTTCAATTGGCTTCACTTGGAAGGGCCTGAAAGCATCCATCAAAATAGCCGGTTGAACGCAATGAATCGACATTTGGATTGAGCAATGGATTGGTAATGTACTCTTTGCCTCGAATAAGGCTCACGCAAAGACAGATCTCCAAAAAAGTGCCCGAAATGGATGGATGAACATAGTTACAAAAGACGAAAGATGAATTAACTCATGCACTTTGAAACTGCAACACCTTTGCTAACAAATCCCATGCCAGGCTGAATGAGGCGAAACTTTCGAAGAAAGGAATCCTCACAATAAAAAACCCTAACAACTTGAGCACTAAAACAAGAGTGCTGACCACTGAAGCCACACAAGTTCCATCAATTTCCCCATTATTATCGTTTCTCGCAGAATAATTCGATTCTCTGCAACTTAATTGGCCCATTGCCATATTTAATCAGATGATATTGCTTACGATGAAGTACTTTTAAGCATGTCTACTAATGCGATAATAAGATCGGCGTAAACCAATGAGGTGATTTATGCCCATCAAAGTGAACCCATCAACTCCAGTCGAAAGGAATTCGACAAGCAAACTCACTCCAAGTGGCGCCAAACAAACCGATAAATTTTACATCTTACTAATTTTGATGAAAAAATTGTCGTATGCTGCCCGCATGCAATCCATCAAAGTCATTTTCCGATGAGTAACAAAAATTATCGAAGGACAATGCTTTTACCGCTTAATATACATGAATTGGATTTCGCTATGCTATGGAAACATAAGACAGGTACGCCAAAACAGTGTCTCCAAAGAGTGGCCAAGAGTAGAGCACATATTGTTGCCTACTGCAAGGAACGCAGTACCGATAGTTTGAGCACTGTTTATGGGGCCTAGTAGAAGAGGGGTAGTAAAGGTCAGAAGAAACGAATTTTCCTCGCGTTTATTGAGCACTCAAGTACTTTAGCACAATGTTCATTCAAAAGTGATAAAAGTCCAACTTACCGAAGCAATTCTGCCACCTCTGACAAGGGTTTTGAACATGGATAATCCTCGAGTGGTGTTCGACCGTCTCCATAGACTTGGTGCGAGGTCTTGCGACGTCTCAGTCGATACCCTGCATTGAGAGAGAAATCGTCAGACTCGTAGTCTGTAGGAGTATGTCTCTTCCGTGCACCTGACTTTTTAGCACCGCGCTTTTTCGGAGAAGCAATACAATCTGATACCATAGATGAAGAGGAGGAGCCAGAGGAAGGAGTGTGACAACTGGTCGAGGAAGTTGAAGAGTAAATCGAATGCATTTCAGTCTTGGTTGCCTCAGCATCGCGCCCCAGTTGCGTCGCATTCCCCTCGTTCAAAACCATTACTGATGGTCTTTAATGAAGAAAAATATAGCAAGCATACCATCAAACCATTTGCACAAACTAGAACAAAGCAATGCTGTATAAGAGGTGAATTTCAAACTAGACACCACAAAATTACAAGATTCTTGTGATACATAGTTTAGGAAAGGGAAAAAGATCGACAGATTGTATGTACAGTCGACAAAGCGGGCATAAATGCTGCTACATCGGTGGAGTTTTCTTCTACGCTGTACATTTTTGGGTCACCACGTCAGCTGAAGCTGTCGTGGTAGGAACTGAATGGGAAGGGGATTCGGGAGTACGAGGACCAACACGATCACTTAAAACAGATCCGTTCTCCTCGTTTTGAGTTCGTTTAGGCTGCACCAAACCATCCTCTGAGTGGTTCTCAGTGGAAAACGACTCATACACTTTTGATGAACCTTTAGCTCTCTTTGACCGTTCATCCTTCTTCGAGGATGCAGAATGCGTCTTCCTAGTTGTCTCCTTACTTCCCTGTTCAGAATACTTGGATTTTTCAGCAATGCTTCGCTTTGATTTATTCTGTTTGGTTGAAATAGTATCCTTAGATCGAGACTTTTCGACTTTCCTGCCTGCAGAAAGCTTGCGCGACACCTTCTTCGTATTCCTACCAGTAGACTCTCGTTTTCTAGATTTCGAGTGCCTCCTTTTCAACGAACTATTGGATCGTTTTCTATCGCTACGCTTGTATTTAGAGCGAGAAGAATCCCTATCGTGTCGTCGGGGAGACAATGGTGATTTTCGTCTTCTAGACGATCTAGATTGGCGTCTCCGAACTGGAGATCGCACTCTGCTTCGATGCAATGAACGAGAAGGAGAGCGACGCCTGACAGACCTAGACCGAGACCGCGATCGGCGATGAACTGAACGAGAACGCGACCGAGACCGTTTGGCAACTTTCTCAGGCGACTTAGATCTTCGTCTCTTGGTCGCCTTCCTTGGTGACCGAGATCGTTTCGAACTTTTCGACCGCGATTTGCGCTTTTCTGAAGATGCACGCCGCTTTCTACGATTCGAAGAATCCACAACAGTTACCCTCGACCGAGAACGCGACCGAACTTTGGAATTGCCGGGCTTCTCGTTACTGATCGATGAAAGAGCTTGAGGTTCAGCGGGCTCAGATTTCGAAGACTCTTCTGGTGGATCCGACTGCTTCGTTGTATCTGTGACCGATTTACCAACTTCATTGTTCGCGGATAAACTGGAAGCCTCGTTCACCTTATTTATCTCTCGAAGAACTGCGGAAAGTTGCCGTTCACCTTGAGCTGCGTTATTAATACGAGCCAATATTGCTTCTGATATTGCGGTTAGAGATGGCTGAGCTGCGTTTTGCAATTCGAGAACACTCTCGTTATTAAGCTCAGCCATAATTTCAAGCTCATCCTCTTTAGTGGGCTTAAAAAGTTCTGTTTTTGCTTCAATCTCAGGGTGTTTCGCCTTCGTTGGCAGTACCCCCGTACGTAGTGTACCAGGACGAGAACGCTTACTCACGGCCTTAATTCGGAAAGAAAGAATAGAAGGATCCGACTTGTTGGAGACATCATTTGTGCTGTCAATGGGTGGAGGAGGTGGAGGAGGAGGAGGAGATATGCTTTTTAGATGAGGGCGCACATTCTCAACAGGCGTAAACTTTTCAGGAGGCAGTGGAATGTTCTGAATCGCAGTAGAGGAGAAGGTTCTAATTTCCTCTTGCATTACATTATCTAATTTATAGAAAATAAAGCGAAGAAGAAAAACAAACCCGGCAGCGGTATCGCGCCCACATCTAGATTATCATCCCTGTCCTCAATTTCACTAAAATTCAGTACTTAAACGGCATAAAGCTTACTCAGTTGGAGAAGCTGGATCGTACTCCATCGCTTTACAAAATAAAAATACAACTAGCAAGACTACCGGTTTCAAATTAACCACTAACCAAATAGTGTGCAAACAAACATTCGATTCAACGTAAAAATTAAAATTGTAAAATCGCAATGACCTAAAATCATTGCTAAACAAAATTGTTATCTTATACTGTTAGACAAAGAGAGCAAGCATCCTCCTTTTTTATTTTTTGGATATATTGCATGATCTTAAACATAGCAGTAGCGTGTAATGGTATGCACTAGTACTTTAAATTTATTGTTCTTTAACCATTACCTAATGTCAAAGTTAAAGCATTCAAATATCTTTCAAATTTGCCATTTTAAGATGGACACAAAATATATGAAACACAGTGTTTAAATATATTGTTCATTCTTAGGGAAAGTTTTATGTCCTGGATTCATTATTTGAAGGAAGTCATGCTGATGCTGTCCGAAATCAATGGTACTTTTTGCTGTCCGCCCGCATAGCGTTGATTAAATATGGGGCGGCGTCAAGATGTCGAGCTCAAGAGGGAAGAAGTGCGTGCTTTGAAGATTCATGCTCGCGTGAAGCCGGTCAATCTATCGAAAACTCTGTTTGAACTTGTGGAATATATTACGCAGCGCGAGCGGAATGATCCACTTCTCTTCCCTCCTAAAGACAATCCCTTCCGTGAAAAGAAGATCGCATGTGCTGTTCTCTAAGTAAACTTTTAATTCATTAATCCACTGCTGCATTGTTTGTCTTTGATGCCTTATGATTTAAGCTCTTTCAATACTTCATAGCTTTGCTTCTGACAATCTCCTTGTCTAAGGCATATCACTATGTTCTCTTTAGGGAACTTATCCTCCCAGCTCCTCACATCTGTTCTTCCTTGCGAACACTATTTCTTCCATTATTATGTTCAAATAATAATGTTTTAATGTTTTTAAGTCTTGTCTGTCCGTTTTTTTGTGCGCTCATCTTCGTGCATATTGGGATTGAATGCATTTCAGCTTTGTTAATCCTTTTTCTCGTGTTCTTTGATCTAGGGCATTGATTTTGCACAACTCATCGTGCAATCGCTGTGTGGATGTTGACCACACCATCAATAGCGCTATTCTACCATATTTTGGGTTTCCGTCGATTCTTGTGTGCAAAATCCTTGCGTGTTTCTGGTTTTGCCACCTTTAGAACTGCATATTGAACTTACCTTGTAATTCCTGGGCTATATTTGAGTTGGCTGTGGTATTCTTAAGAGGGTTGATACTATTCGTTCAAATTAACTTTTTTATCCTGCCATTCTCTTAGTCCCTGACACAAACGCCTTCTGTGCTATCGCACTACTATCGTAGTGATTGGATTTTTCGAATTGCACTCATGATTGCATCTGATGCCCAATTTTTAGCAAATGGATTTTGTTTCCCGCTACATTCTTGTAGAGTATTTTGGCAACATCTTCCTATTACTGATCGCCGTAACTTCTGGTTAATCTTTCCAAACCTGGTTCCTGGTGCATAACCTTGAATGAAATCTAAGTGGTACTCACAATTTTGAAGGTTGGGGGTGAGAATACTGACACTGGTTGCAGCGGAATTTACCAGCGTACACCAAAACTTTGGACCACGCCAAAAACGCTTGACGCCTACAACGTCACATTGACAGCGCATTAATCTGCCGGTTGTGTTCAGTTTATGGAGAGCTTGAGATTTCTCCACCCTAGGACTACTGCTCTTTGCATCGCCTCGTGAGTAGATGTCAATTTCGAATGGACCGTCCACCTTGTTCCAGCGGGACAACGCACCCCGGTGGAGCGACGCAGACCAAATCTCCTAACCGGTGTAATGGCGTGCTCAGTCTCGTACTCATTCTTTACCATTTTAGAGTTTACCAATAAGGCTCCCCCTTATGAAGACTTGGATGAAGGACTCTGAGACCAACTTTAGTAGTGTGAAGCCTTCCTCTGATGTCAAAACTTGTAAAGATCTAGTAGGATTCTGGTTCCGGCTCGAGTCCTTTTAAATCTGAAAAAAGCGAGTTAGACCAGGGAAAGGGGAGGTTATTGTGAGCAAATCGTTTTCTTTGTACACTTGGTAACAACCAAATATAGGGTAGGCAGACCTATTCTCCAATATCTGGCTCATGGCTCCGCTTGCCGCGAAGAATGGCAATCGATGAGAGGATGACGGCGGCGTCCTCCACTCCCGAGGAGGATTCCTTATCGCTGTTGTCGGAGCTCTCGTCCGAGTCACCATAAGCCTCCAAACCCGGCAGAAGCCCGGCCAACACACAGGCCGGTGCCGCAGTTGCCTGCACACCTGTGTGCAAAGACAATGAGTAAATTCAACGGAAAATTGGCGGAAACTAGTAATCTTATGCGAGAGGTGTGATCAGTGCTCAGGATTTAGACACTAAACGAGTTCCGGCTCGTGCTTACTTGGTGTGTGCTCATTTAGAGGGTTTCGGAGGCTGTCAACAGGGTTCATAGGCTGTGGCCCCATCAGGTCTAAAGAATAGCAGAAATCTTGAAACCAAGATCGATGGAGGTTCGCAAAGGGGAGCTTGGTTAACACAGTTAGATAAGAGTATTTGGATCCGGTTTTTCAAATAGATAGAGACAAGGTGTTTGGATTGCTTTGTAATGGAGAATAAGGATAGGCTAGACATGCGCTGGTGTGCGAAAACGAAATTCTTAGCTATCAAAATTAGCTGAGGTGGAATGCGTGATACATCAGACAATCAAACTAACGTGGTGGTTGTTCGACCTGGGTTCCAGCGGAAATGTCACCGAGGCACGAGGATCGAGCTTCAGGAGCACCTTGAAATACGTATTGCAAGCAAACAGCAGTGGAATAAGGACAGGTATAAAGCGCCGGAAATATGTGCGTTTAGTCCTTTGCAGAAAGGACACTTGAAAAACAGCTTGGGCACCACAACAGTAGTTCTAAGTAGGACGAGCGATTCATAGGATGCAAGGTCAAGGTGGGTTTTCTCATGCGATCAGCAAGGGAACCTCATATGGCCATTTTATACTTACTCGTAACTTCAGACGGAGTTATTATTGGATTGATGGTGGGACGTGAGGGTGTTGACGACGTATCGCCTAAGATGAGTGTGCCAAATGAAACGATAATTAGACTTTAACGAAAGAGAAGAATGTTAACATCTGTTTACTCACTAGTGGTCTCTTCAAGGTGGGGCATTTTGGCGACAACATTTAGAGACTGAGATCTGAAAAAAAAACGCTATAAGCCGGTTTGATCGAATTCAGAAACAACGCAAAATAAAAACTTACGATTTACGCTTGATTCCTGCCAAGAGTGAACGTTGGTTTAGAGATGATGAAGAAGCAGGTATTGGAGGGCGACGAACGGGGGCTTCAACGTTTGAGGATGACTGAGCGGAAATCCTCAGTAAAGATGATCGGTTAGCCGCGTAATAGAAGGTTAGGAAAATTAAAATAAAATACAGTGAGAAAGCAAACGACATATAGGAAGAGTGGGAATGAAGAAGAATTAAGAACAAACTAAAAGGATATTTTAGCTTCCTGAATCAGCTGCTCAGCTTCCTGATCGACAGACTCTTGCATAAGGCATTTTTCACGATCAATCTTCGCCAAAAATGCAGCTTCATCTGCATCCAACCGGTGAATTTGGTTCTTGAATGCAGTGGATGCCTCGTACTCCTCCTGCTGACGAGCACGCTCAGCCTAAGGCACATGAAATGAACACAGAACTCACTTGTAGACGGTCGTAAAGAGGTCGAGGATCATAAGGCTCCTCTTTCTTGCCCTCGGCAGCATCCCTCAGCTTTCGCTCGGCTATTTCCTTTTCGGAAATGAATCGAGGCAGACTGGATGACATCACAGAAACAGCCTAGCGGCTGACCTACAAATTTAGCCTAGACTTTGAGCCATCACACCATAAACAACCAAAAACTGAAAGCCGCCTAATTAAGACCTTTAAACGACATCTTACTTTAACGCCACAATTAGGAGCTCAGCAACAACAGTTATTAGACAAGGAGCGTTGTTTAAATTGTTTCACTTTTAATAGAATAATGCATTACGATTTAGCGAAATTCTAGCTTGTGACCCACAGGACTTATTGGAAATAAACAGCCATTTTAAGCTATGTTGGAGGATACCTTCGGATAAACCTGGCCACGCAACACACAGTTGGATATAATTATGTTTAGCACCATAACATGCACAAATATGGCATTGCCTAGCGCTACAATTTTTCGGCCTACAATTGGGCAGTGGTACATATGTCACTTGAAGACCTTGAACTTCCAGGATTCTGTTTTCAAAATGCTGTTCGATGATGGTGCAAATATTCTGGAGTGCTTCGTGATTTATGCCTATGTTCTGTCCTCGTTTGTATCTTTTGCTACAATTTGGCTTTATAGGTTTCCGCAGATGGGGAATTCGGTGTTCCTCTTCAGAACCATATTTCTGTTTGGCAAGTGTGCTCCAAATTATGGTCGTATTTACACGGTACTTCAAGTTCCGAAACGATTCTTTGTTCATTTCTACGTGACCGCTGTGATTGTTTCCCTATCAACAATCCTTTTCGTGCTGCATTGCCATAGTAAGCGTCTAGAGGAGAAGTTTAATGCGATTGCAGTTATGTTATGGCAGTTTTGCTGTACAGGTTCTTCGATTGGAGCAAACATTGGCCTTTTTGTGATGTTTTGTCATGCGTTGAAGCGTCTCTACGAAAACCTATATGTTCACCTTTTCTCAGACAGCAAAATGTCGATTGCTCATTATTTCATTGGCCACTTCTTCTACCTAACTATGTCACCCTGTATCTATTGGAGCAGTCAGTATGCAGGTTAGTCTTTCTTCTAGCACTCGGTCTTTCTACTAGGTAAGCTCAACAACAGCGATTCTTCTGGATTTCATTTTAGATAAACGTGGAATGGTTGCGATAATCGCTTACATATTCCTTGCCTTTCTTACGATGGCTCTGCAGCACCTTGTAATGCGGCAGCTTGCGTCAACCCGGCTACGTGCATCCAAGGGTTTGTTCCGCCAAACTTTAGTGCGATTGCACTTTATTGCGCATTCTATTCCTTCTTAGTACCGTTGTCATGTTCTCATGAGTAAGGTTACTCCTTTTTAGAGAGGCGAAATGCTTACCTTATGCCGGAGGGCTATATGTTTACGTATGTTACATGCCCTCATTTTTCACTGGAGATAACTCTCTACATGTTAACTCATGCCTTTTTGGGGCTTCGTTGGATGCCTTTCACTGCCGTTCTCCTCTTCGTCCTATCGAATCAACTATGTAGCGCGGTTATTAACCATCTTTGGTACTTGGAAAACTATCCAAAATTTGCACAATCACGGAAGATGCTTATTCCTTTTGTACTTTGAAGATTCGTATTTTTTGTATGTGTCTATATGATTTTACTGCTTACCTGGGATTTAAGAACTTATTCTTTCTTAACGAAGTATAGTTGTCTTTCTTGGAAGACCCTAATCCTCCATTCCCAAGATCGTGGATTGCATCCAACAGACAGGCATTTCTGATGTACACATTGTATGTTAGACTCGGAAATTGAATAAATGTGGCAGAGGTCCTCTCATCATGCACAAGCTAACCATGAACTGAAATCTTTATATGTTTCAACATTTGTGTTGTCAATGCAAGAGCTTGACGATTTCCTTTTGAATGGTATCACTACTCTCTTGCTGTTGGGATCCACATTTCTGTGGTCAGTGTCAGAATTTCGCAACTTGATTTCCTCAATGCGGTCATTGAGGCCAAGACCGATTTACTCCAGAAGTGCACCAATCTAGAATCCCTCAGTGAGTTTTTTCTCGCTCACATATGCCCACATTTAAAGGCTCTCGTTCTCCAGTAACTGTCTATCAACCACTGGCTGGGATTTCAGCAGCGCCATACAAGGACCTTTGAGCCGCTATCCTGTACCTCACTCCTCATGAAAGCAAAGATTTTACAAGTAACTTGATTTTTTGTACATATTCTCTGCGAAAGTCTCATTTAGCTTCTATTTGGATGCATAAGTTCGTTGCCCAACCAATCGAGACCCTCGTAAATCCCTGCACCAGTCACTGCACAAGATGCTTGGGCAAGCCACTTCCGATGCGAAGGCAGTTTTTGCAATTCCAGCGCCTCTGTCACCTCCGAGGTCTTCATTGCATAAGGGAGATCCTAAATTGAGATTGGAAATGCTATTGTTCTTTTGGAAGACTGGAAGAGAAATACGAAGGGAAATTACCTGTTTATTGGCCAGAACAAGGAGCTTGGCGTCCCTTAACTCGTCCGCCTCTAGTATTCGATACAACTCGGTCTTGGCGTCTCCAATTCGTTCTCTGTCATTGGAATCAACCACAAATATTATTCCTGTAAAGGATAAAGGCCAAGTTAACTGATCATTGGTTCTTCGAATTTAAACATTCTTGTCAAGGCAAGAGTTAGGCTTAAAGCTCTGCTTTAGCTTGACACCTCTTTCATTGTCCAATTTAAGAGCACAAAGCTTGAACGCTGGCGCAGCTCACCTTTGGTCCCGGGATAGTAGTAGGCCCACAGTGGTCGAATTATCTCCTGCCCCCCGATATCCCACACAGTGAAGGTTATATTTTTGTAGGTGACAGTTTCTACATTGAAACCAATTGTTGGAATTGTTACTGTTGTCTCGCCAAGTTTCAGCTTATAGAGGATTGTTGTCTTTCCGGCAGCGTCCAGACCGATCATCAAAATTCGTGCCTCGAGATGCGACTGGAACAAGGTTGTCCATATCTTTGACAGGAACATACCCATTTTAACCAATAATTTAGTAATGTAGATCAAGGATGTAAGGGCTCTAAGTTGGGTGCTTCAGTAGTCCTGTTGTTGAGGTACACTTATATAATAGCTTGAGTTTTTTGAGATGGGATTGTATTGGTTAGTTGCACCTCCAGCGTGGAAGCAACGTGGTCTTCAGGGCCCTCCAGCGTGGCAT